AGATGTTCGCCTTCAGCAGTCCTTAGCAGGGGTATTGGGTCCTTGTTCCGCGTGCACTGCCTAATGTAACCGTAGAATAATTTAGGGTTCTCCGCTGCACGGTTAAGCAGATCCCGTTCGAATTCCTTTCTAGTTTTGAGGATAAGACCCTTGACTCGATTTCTTTGAATTTTGTACGCGCATATAGATGTGGGGCTCCTGTCAGAAAGCGATTTTTTCCACAGCCGTCGTTTTTTATTCACTTCATTCTTCAAGGCTTGCGTAAGCCATCGAGGTCTGTTAGTTAACCTCTTCCGTGAAAGCGGACAGTGGTTTACAATCAGCTCGTGCAGAATTTCTCGGAACCGTTGCCAGTCTTCGAGTATGCTCCCAACAAATATGTACTCCCACTCAATGCGTGAAATTTCAGCCCTCATTTGGTCGAAATCCCCGCGCCAAAGGTTTCTTCTAACTGTCCCGGATTTCTTGGGCATGGAAAAAAACGAGTAATCCCATAGAAGAACGACGTGGTCACTTTTACCTAAGGGGGGTAGGCATGACACCTCATCAATGCTGTCCTGTGACTTCGTAAGGAAAAGATGAAGGCAGTTGGCTTGTTGGCCTTCGCGTACTCTAGTTGGTAACATGACGTGTTGAGTGAGAAATAGCTTCAATGCCGTGTTCAGAAAACTCCTATCGAAGGTCTGTTTTGAGCTATTTGCATGGGTTGAGCTCCAGTCAATATCGGGCGCGTTAAAGTCGCCCATGATTAGGATATCCGGCCGCGTGGCGAACTTTTCGAGCTCCTCCAGCAGGCGAGCGTCGGCCATGTTGTCCCGTCTCGGCAGTCGATAAACTGTCAGGACATCGAGGCTAAGCGAGCTCGGCACTTTAATAGACAACCAGATTGCCTCGGAACTGCACGAAAAGTTATCGGTCTTGTCTGATACATTTAGCCCATTTTTTACATACGTTAGTACGCCTCCTCCCTGACGCCCTTCCCTATCCCTTCTAAACATCTGGTAGTCAGGCAAGGCCAGCTCACGGTCTTCCACGTGTTGGGTCAACCAGGTTTCTCTTAGAGAGATTACGTCAGGGGGTAGGTCGCAGAGGTGGATCTTTAGCTCGTCGAACTTTGATAGCAAACTCTGCACGTTGGTGTACAAGAACTTCAATTTCCGGCTGACGGAAGATGTGGTTACATTTGGGTTAGCGCCCTCACTTAATATGTCGGCTGCGCGGCCATTCGGACAGGACCTATCCAAAGGAAGAGTGACGGACGCCGCCGTACTTGGGTGTTGTATATTACTAAATTGTTCTCCCCCTCGCTGAGCCTCTTTCTTAGTTCTAGAACCAGCTGACGACGCTTGAGCCGTTCGGCTGGCGAGTAGTCCGGTTGAAAAAAAAAACACCGGGGTTGGAGCCTTTAATCCTGAATCGCCTGGAGTAAATGAGACTGGCTTGGTCGCTGCTGGTCAGCACAACTTTAAGAGGCCGGGAACGAGTGGACATTGATGGATTATCTGCTCGTTTTCCAAGGCGGAAGGCTTTGATCACTTCAATAACCTCCGTGGGTTCCAAAATATTATTGAGAAGACCTTGGAAGAGTGATAGGTCTTCCGAAATTCGCTCCTTGGGAGTAATTGCACTTGATTCAGGGAGCCCCTGAATAATAAGACATTGTTCTCTGTCGGTCTCTTTTTTATTTTCTACGGAATTGTGGTTCCCTAAATGACATAACGCTCTGGGACTACGCGCTGGTGATGGTGGAGCAGATGTGCTTACGCCGTCTGTTTGTTTGATTCTTATGTTGACAATCTTGGAAGAAGTACTTGGCGGAGAAGACTGCGGAGAGAAATCTGTGGCTGTGATGGATGAATCGATTCCACCGCTCGTACTAGGTCTATCAAGCTCGGACTGTTTCTGAGAGTCAGCAAAGGTGTTTGAACACACAGCATTTGTCATGAGGGGCAGAGCATCTGTCAATGTCTCTGCTTCGGCCGCTAAAGAGGCATCTTCCGGAAGTAGCCGTCCGTTTTTCTCGGCCATTTTACAGTTGGATTTCTTTTTCTCTTCAGTTTTAAGGTTGCCTTTCTGGTCGTTATTTTCTCGCTTTTTAGCTATCCCTTCTGGGGCCTCTGTAATAGGTGCTGGCGTGCCTATTATGCTGGGAGCTTTTGCCCTACTTCTGGTTACTCGTCCAGTAGGCAAAACGCTAGCGTTAGCTTGGTCTAGACTGCATCGCAACTGGGCTTTTATCTTTGTGATTTCTTCCTCAAGATAGTTGACCTTGGCGGCTAAAATCTGACATCCATTGCAGCTTTGACCTGCATTTTCTGCGTACATACAGTCAAGTAGACTATGTGATACCACTCGCCGACGCGCTGCAGTGGCGTAGGGGTTAGCGCATTTGACTAAGCAAGGGGTGATTGCTGGATCGATTCCACACCCCGACATCATTTTGCGGACGTCAGTGCGTACTTCAGTCGTGCCGTGAAGTTATGGAAAAGGAGCAGGCCACAAGAATCGAAGAAAAAAACGTCGCCTAGGGCCAAATAGGGAAAACTGCGTGTATGGTTGGGTTTGTCGGAGAATCTCAAGAATGCAAGGCCTGGAGGTCTTTTTAACTATCACTTTTTGGTAATATGCCAGGAGTACAAATCTAAGCAGCTCAACAAGCAGTGTAGAAATTATCGACTCAGCCTTTAGTAGGTCCTGTTCCCAAGGTACGGTGGACAATTCGAGACGATATGAAGGATTTGTAGGCTGCGTTGGTTACGCTCAGATTGCCAGCAATTGCAGAAAAGTGTCCTAGTCGTACGATGAGGGCAACGATGACAGTAAGGTTGAGGGTAGTAGGCAACAATGCGTCTGAGAATCCAATTTCTGATGCCGGACCAACTGTTTCCAGTGAGGAACTCGATTGAAAATGTCCTTCTTGCTCCTCAAACTTCAAACCGCGCGCGTAAACAGTATTCGGATCCGATTATCGGACCTCAATTCCTTTCATGATGTTGGGGATAGTCAAAGTAGAGGCGCTGAGGTTCAACTGTCGCTGTTGGCCAAAGAAATTGTCCCTGGTGAGACCGGTCATAGTGTTCAGAGACCACAGACGCCATCGCTACGGTACAGTCGATCAGAGTTTTCAGCACCCAAAATTTGTGTTAGCTTATCTGAATGCAAAAATCGATTAATAGTTCTCTTAAATAAATGACAATTTTGCAGAGTTATCACATTCCTGGGTAGTTTATTCCAAATAGCAATTGCATTTACAGAAAACAACCGACGATATTTAACAGTACGTGCCAGAGGAAGAAATAAAATGACCTCACGGTGACTGTTACGTCTGGGATGACATGATGTCTTAAAGAGGTGAGTGGGTTAAATGTGTGAGTACATAAGAGCTTAAATGGCAAAAATAGTCCCTTTTGTAATCTACGGAACCATAAAGGATCAAGGCTTGTAAGCCGACAACGTTCTTGCTAAGACAAATGTCGGTGTTCCGGGGTTAAAACTCCCTTGGTAAAAAGTGTTGAACGGATTGTATTTTCTTCCGCTCAGTAGCACGCACGAGGTCGAAAGTCCGGCGTCGCTAGGACAGGGGTCAACAGACACGCTTTGATGTTAAAAATGGCAACATATGAAGAATCGTTAGACGGAATGAATGAGAAATTAACGAACAGTAATGTCGTCATCATCGAATGCTGCAGAGGCTGGTAGGAAGATACCAAGTTGGTAGGGCGCCTGAAGGAAGCTAGTGGTTGTGCTGGTGTGTTGAAGCTCGACGGCCGATTCGTACGTAACATTGGTACTTTATCTATGTGAGAGGAGATCCCGCTGGACATAGTGGAGGAAATACATAATATTTGGTAAAGCCAACTGAATGAGGCAACTGAATGGGGGTTCCTGCGTAAAATTGGGTGGGGAACACGTCCGGTATGTTTGGGGCGGAGATTGTTCGATGATCGCCACCTCGCTTCAGGACAGGATATAGGAAGCCACGCTATCTTTATCGCAGTCAAATCAGTTTGGTGCAGGGAAATTTAGAGAGAAAGCCAAGAGGGCTGATCCCTGATTTATGAACTGAGTCACTTCTGGAAGTAGCAATACGACCACATTGGACTAGCCAGTGTTGTGGCCGCCTAGACAGTAAAGAAGACCCTGACCGGTACGGTCTTCTGGCCCGATCGCAAATAGAAAAAGTAGAAGCTTAATGCAAGTTGAAAGAACTTTACTTTTTCTACAAAATTAATGGAGACTCAGTAGGAGCAGGTTGACAGTCAGACGATCGTTCATGTCCGTTGTCCGAATACCACTGAAGCAGGAGGTCAGAGAATCATGGATGAGGCATGTCTGGGTATGACTTCCAGTGGAGTGGCCAGGTTGAATAGATATGAATGATCGAGAACAGTACCATCAATGGGAAGCGCGTACAAATACGTGTGACAGACGCAGTGTCTTAGCGGTCACCTGGTGAAAGGACACTGGAGTCTGGCCTTAATTGATGGTGATGAGAATGAATAAGCTTCATTTTAGAGCCAGCTGGAGACAAAATGACAATTTTTATGCGCTGGTGGAGTTTGTGGACGCCATATCTGGCTGTATTGAGTCTATATGAGGGCATGTTCTCGCCACCCGGAAGATGTGATCCCGTGGTCACTCTCTGCGCATATGAGCCAGATGTAAAAGGATCATGCGTGCTTGCGGTGCCACACCACAAATAGAAGAGATCAAAGTTTGCAGAAAATGTCGTTCGCGTCTGGAATATGGAATCCAAGCGTGGCGCTCGTGGCTGAAAAAAGACGATAATTGGCTGGTAATACTTCAGAAAAGGACGACAAGAATTGTGAAATGACTCAGGACTTTACCTTAAAACTGCAGCCTTGATGAGCTTAGCATACCTCCTCTTGAACACAAACAGATCCGAGAAGATCTCATACAGGCGTACCTGGTCTTGAAAAGCCGGGTCTGTGCCCAGCACCTCGATGATTTCTTCATCTTGGCCACACCACCCAACCTGCATGGGAACTCTCTATAACTTTGAGGATTCCGGTGCCGCCTGGACGTTCGCAGATACTCTTTTTCACAGCGAATCGTCGGTGCCTGGAACGGGCTTCCCGAGTACGTGATAATGACGGATTCCATGGAGACATTTAAGCAAAGACCAGATATATTTGCTTGAAAAGTGCCGCTTATCTAGACAGAACAGTTCTGTTGTACCAAACCAAAGACTTGCATACACCTACTGCTAATGCGGGTGATTGTCATTTCATTTTACCGTTATCACATAGAACTGAGTGTTCCCGAGTCTAGGTCCTGCATTTTCAAAGACAATATTCTGCAAAATGTATATATTACTGACAACATTTGAGTACCATATTTATTTAAGGTCATGTACCGTTTTCAGCAGGGTTTTTGAAGGCATTGCCTATTAACTTTAAAATATACTGACCTAGTGAACTAATCCGCAATCATATACGGTGATTATTGTTTTGTCAGGCTCCTTGACAGTGATACTTGCTGTACGTGACTTGAAATTGTTGTCGCGTCTACAGCGGTTTTGGTGTGTAACTGACTACTTTAAGTCAATTTGCTAAGTGAATAAGGCTTTCCCTTGAGCTCCCTATTCATGTCGATAATCAATTGTTATATCAGCAAATCTGGAAATTCAAAAGTTAAGAAAAATGATGTGCGAGTGGTGAAAAAACTGCAGTTCAGAATTTAAAAATGACTGGATCAATGTTAAAGGAGAAAAAAACCGTCGCTCACATTAACTCAAAAATGCGGGCAGGACTGGTCTGCATGTGGCGGTATATAACGGATTATAATCGGACATCATCAAGGCTGAAACAAATGTCAGCTTTGAGGGGTGAGTATGTTGGTTAGACAGAGTTGATCTGCATGTGGTATTGTATACGAGACTCAGAACGGACATCATCAGGGCAGAATTGCTACGCCGGATGAGACTATTCGCGGAAAAGTTGCCAGACGAGAGATCCATTCATTGAGAGGAATGGGCGTAAGCCATTGTGTACCTAATTTGTAACGTAAAAGTTTGGGCGGTGTACTGAGTAATCATGTGGGCTGAAATAATTAAAATGGGCCAGTAGCTGTATGACAGCTTAGGGCGTGAGTCTCAATGGTGCAGTTCGATCTCTCATCGCTCTTGTCGATTTCGGAGCATTAATATAATTCAGTATATATGAGGGATATACCCTTGGAAAACCCTATTTACAGATAGACGTAGGAAAAAACATGCAGATACAATAACAATAACATAACAATTATTCCAGTCACTCATATCGTGTAAATGTTTGACCATCAAACATAAATGTATCTACTCATCTATTGAAGGTCTCAACTTTCAGGTTCTTTTGGAGGTTTTCATAGAAAGTGAAATCACTAGATCTGTGCTTAATGTATTCCATGGTTTTCCAACTCTGACATAGAAGGAAGACTTTCGCACATGCAGTCTTGCTTGAAGAATGCACATCTTTTATGTGGACCTCGGAGGTTGGTCGTTGAAGCAAAGTGAAAAAGTCTTCAAAAACGAAACTGCCGTCCAACCCTTCGCAATACGGAATGCTCGTTAGATATCCCCGCGCAGTTGCCTATAATTCAAAGAAAGGAGGTCTATATTTATTAGGTGGGCTGTATAACGAAAGGAGATCTGACCACTGACAATTTTCTATGCGTTTTATCTGCAGTCCATCGTCAACGACAGGACACTGAGTCACGCTTAATACACTTATTTGATCAACAAACATTGCTGCCGCCCATTCCATATCTTTTGCACAGTCGTCCACGTATATTAGGGACAGAAGGGATCCCAGTATAGAATCTCGACCACCGCAGAGTCCGATACCACTTGATTGATACACCAGAGGCTGAAGAGTAATTATGAAGAAATTTCGGCAAAGAGTAAAAAAACTTTGACGAAAATTAGGCAGCTAGATTATCTATCGTGTACAAAGTAATCGATTAATTAGAATAATTGTTAACGGTGTTTCACTAGGCTTAAATTCGAACGGGTATTGCAAAACAGAAAAGAGGCCCAGCTGTCATTTGTGAGTGCTTACTGCGCCCAACTAAGTATAGCCTTTCCTTCGTATTACATTTTAACTGCTACATCCTCGTGTTATTCGCAGTAGCCCGACTTCGTATTTTTGTGAATTTAGTCTTGTCAGGGTTAATTACCTGCAAAGATGCTTAATATTTAGATATAATAACTGTAAGATAACTGCACCAGATGTTAGTTCACGAAATAACTTACGGGAAATAATTATAAACCGTTGAACAGAGACTTCCACTGGAGGTAGTCTGGTCATGAATCATTGACATTTTGGTGGTCAAACGTAAATGGTGTGCGAGGTCGTCCATTGTTATAACAACGACAAACATGTCAAAACTATCCTAGTCGTCTTTCTCGAATAGCCTAGGATATCTTCGTGAAGTCATAGTAATTTCGAGCTGCCATACGGAACCGATTCAGTTCGCATCACTCGAAAGATTGTTCCCAGACAGCAATCACCAAAGACCTCTCATTTTGCTCACCTCCCACACGCACAACCCAGCATTTGCAACCATACAGGAAGACTGGCTAGGTGGTTGTTCCCTGAACGAGGATCATTTTGGCAATGGGTATACCACCTAGGGCCCGTGGACGCTTTCTAAGGGTTTTAAAAGCCCGGTAACCGCCGTCCATTAGGGAGGCATTGTCGTCTTTTCTCTGCCCATTGGGCAGCAGCCTCGCCTTGAGGTATTTGAAACAGTTTTTTTCATAAAGTGACGGCTACCAATTCCGGGAGATTCCTCATCTTGGCCAGAGATGCGTCTCGAAAATACTTTGGTCTCACAAGGTTTAATGGATAAGCCGATTGATTTATCTTTCCAACTTATATTTCAACAAGGCGCTATCGCCTGTCTAGTGGAGATTGGTTAGTTGGCGGTCTATGGCAAACTCAACACCGTCAAAACTGCGTATGGCCATTCTAAAAATCAAGCTAATGGTGTAGTAAAGCATGGTTAGCGACAGGATACAAGCGTTTGAACACCGCATCGAATATCGAGCACTTGGGAGGGATTGTTGTGGACGAGAAACCGCGAAAAAGTGGAGCAGTAGTAGCCTCTGGTCGTAAGGCTGATTTTTGCGGACATGGCGCCTGATGCCTTTATCCGCCACAAGAGTTAACGATGGGTAGAAACGAACGCCGCAGCAAAGTCACCAAGGTCGGCCATGGGTTGCTGGTAGTCGTGGCAGAATTCAAGACGGCGCCGCAGTGTGAATATCTGGTCGGCAATTCAACGCCTAACTCGGAACCCAGTTCCGTTGGATCTTGTTTTATTGTCACGAACACTGAAATCTCCCGAGAATGATCCACAAAGTTCCATGAAGCGACTTCGATGAGGCCTATGTTGCGATGCTTTTGGTACTTTTTTATTTCCCTTATCGATAAGAAGCGTAAGGGCATCCAAGCCGCGATAATTCAGAAAGGAGCTCATCTCCTTGCACTTGCCTAGTCGCCGCATAGAGCCATGGTACCGTAGTATCGACGGAAAACCTGTAGATTTCAGTGGGAAAACCATCTTCCTTGGACGCCCTGTACCCTCAATATGCATAGACAATTTCTCCCTAAAGAAGACCGCATGACTGCAGAGGCTGGTAATGGGTACAACTCTGCTGCATAAGAGAACAAGGGGTGACGCTTCGGTAGTCGAAGTTGAGAACGTGCTTAGTTTGCTCAAACTTGCACTAAATGTTTTCTAAATCAATAGAGATAAAGCTGCCATTCATATTACGAACAGTCACTCGCTGCGGAAGGCCTGCCACCAACTTGGTGGATAAGCTGGCAGAGTTTTCGTGCGTTGCCCACGTTCAAGACCTGCTCCATTGAGGTCGTCATTTCAGCCCAATACTGTCATCTCTAGCCGACATTTCCGTCATTTTCCGAAATCCACTAAGGAGATCACCGTTGTGTGGCCCTGTTAGAGCCGTCTGGGCAGACAAATGCTTGCTTATTCCGCCGAGCTAAGAATTTTGCCATTCGCCGCATAGACCGATCACTTCACTTTCTACTACGTTCTCCTTCGACTCGTGTCGTAAAACGAAACCAGATTTCTGTGCTCAGGACCTCGAATATGTTGGTTTGCCTAGTTTTTTGTCATCAAGGCGTCGTGCACTTGACGTTATGGGTGCGGATAAAAAAGAGCTTTCGGGTTTGTGCGGACAAGAATATAGTTATACTCATTGGTGTTTGCCTGTTTCTGCATCCATACACCATCATGAACTAAGGTGCTGGACCCTTAAGGAACCGGGATGTAGTTAATATGACTGCCTTTGCGACCCTCCTTTGAATGCTAAACCGGCCGATGTTGGCGGCGGTGCTGTAAGCATGTGTTGTTGAGAAGCAGTCTGTTATGGTAACGAAATTCGAAATTTTCAAACCATTGTTGTATTGAGATCTAAAGCCAAAGTGATCAATAAGATGACGGTTTGAAGTCATCGGGTCCGGCCTGGCTTTTCTAATCCCCCAGCATCGATCATTAGATCACGACGAGAAAGCCTTTCAGATAACTATTGCAGCTGAGGGTAGGTTTCTTTATCACACTGGTTGACAGCTGAGGTTGATGAGTGCACGGAGCCGACAGTGATGTTCGTAGAGTGGACCTGTAGTCGCGCGCAAGTCAGCCAGTCATTGACTGGCTCCCATGAAAGCATTACATGGTTCACTTGTTGCGAGAGACCAATCGTCACACTGTGTACCGGCGTCTGTGGGCCACTGTGGTATAGGATGATGTTGGAATTTATCCCCGGGATCTTTATTTACCAAGCACCCGTGTCAAGGGTTCGGATCTCAGCTAAGGACTGCACGCCGGCAGTCTTTTTTTATTTGTGCCCAATAAAGTTTGCATATTACATCATCAAATACCAAAAGACTATTCCCGATTGAGCAATCCAGCTGCCACGCTTCGTTTGCACTAGATCGGAGTTGTGGAGTGCGTCGGTTGCCGCAGACGCCCTAGAATAGATCGCAATACTTGAATTGGACATCTTCATGAGGTTTCTTACGAATCCTGTGAATAAGCAAGTCCTTAACGGCCGCTTAAATCCTTTGTGCGCTGTCGTTCCCTTTAGTGCTTTGGCTCAAGAATCTAACAAGGCAGTGGTGACAAGGAGACTTATCTAACTGCAGTTCACGCTCTTCATATCACAGTACCTTTACCGGACTTTGTGGTATTTAATAAGACAGTTAACGTGCTCGACTACAACCCTGCCCTCTGTGGTAACACTGCCGTTTCTGATCTGCGACTGCATATTCTCCAAACCAGAGAATCTGCTTATTTCGCAGCCAAACTTCGCTAGAACCGTTCCACTGTCCGTCACCTGTGGACGCGTTGGGGAGCCAGCAGCCGGACAAACGAACATCAAACCCTCACTTGTATGCATATCATCTTTAAATCTCAGATTTTTCCTCAGCATGGTTTCCCGCCACCCGTTATGGGCCATCATCTCCGTAGTAGGCAACGAAGACGTTTTGGGAGAACTATGTCGCCTTAGTTGTGGCGCATGACTTTCACCTTCCTCCCATCAATTGCCCTGAGGCCTTGATACGACCAAAGCCTTGCTACTTCCCGTCAGCAATGGGCTCCAAAACATTAATAAAGAACTGAGAAATTTTCAGGCACAACGGCATCTGCAAGACTGCAGATTGCGGGATGCTCTGTTGGAACGCTACGCACCCGACAGTTCGTTTGGAGTAGTCGACGGACTCTGGTTATTGGGTCTCAGATAAAACACTGTGCTATTACTATTACTGATTGCACTTAACAGGCTGAAATGCGTGTCCAAATGGTAGATCGGCGGACCCGTGATAACCTCCATTTTATTTTTATCGCCATCGGCCTGCCTTTAGGAACTTTGGACCAGAGTTCCAATGCAAAGTGACATCGTCTCTTTTCCTTTCAACAACCAGAGTAGATCAGCGAGCGTCACTTCAGCGATCTTGTCGGACAGTTCTATCACCTTCGCTTGAGCACCTTATGATCTCAAAATTAACGAATCGTTCGGGCTGTAGTAAACGCTGCCCCAATTTAATGTCAATTTGCGGTATTACTAGGTCTTTTTAGTGTTTAGCATGAAAGCAGCTTCAGAACGACACACTCAGACAAGCATGAATAATCAGAAAGAACAATTTTCCCATTCCTTACAGACTTACTGCCCACCAGCGTACTTCGACCGCCACAAGGATGTTATTTTCGCACCAAGGCCGCCCTCCTAATACAATTACTCAGGTCCTTATGAAGTCGCAATTTAGCGATCGTCTTTCTGTCCCCTGGGTCTGCGAACTCCGGTGTTTGTCTGGCCGTGACTCAATCGTTTCGTTTTGTACGGCAGTGGCCAAGATATTGGAACAACTACCGGCACGTTTTCAGGATTTGCCGTCATCGTTTGCCTTTAGGTCGCTGGTGAGGTCTATTCCTTTGGGCCCGAATCACGAATTGCTGAGCTGATAACAACCGCGATAATATCTGAACAAAATAATTCTCTGGTCAAAGAATCCCCTCTTCATGTAAGCAAGGGTGTTTTCCTTTATTTTTTTGAAGCGGTTCGTTCTTTAGCAACTGTCTCTCTGTCTACAGAATTTTAAGCTCACTCTGTAATATTTTCAATTTCCTCTATTCCTCTTTCGGATAGTTATCAAGGTCCCCCAGATTCCGTCTCATGCTTTTGCGTATAAGGGCCATTATCGATATTTAATTAGCCTTCTCGAATTTAAAGACATCGCAGGTCCATGTTACTGATTCAGTGTCGTCCGTGACTGGACCCTCAACGCTCATTGACAGTCGAAGTCCTAGATGGTAGGAAGAAACACTGTCGGACCGAGTTTCCACCTCGGGTTTGTCTTTGCCACAACCGTCCATTTTTTCAGTTGGTCACCAAATTGGCAACGTCTATTCGGACAGGACTTCATAGAAGTTGCATCACGGACACATGCCGCTGTTTGTTTCCCACGGATTCTGACCCATTAATATTGTGTAGAAGTCCCAAGTGACATGAAATAGACAAGGTCCCTATTGTCGACAGGGCCTTACTTCGTGGCAAGCAATATGCGTAATGCGTTTGTGTGCTGTGGCCTTTTAAAAGTATGCTTTACCATCCAGCCGAATGTTCGTTAGTAATTGTGTGGGCCGTTTGGATTTTCTGCATTGACAGCGTCAATCATCAAAACTGAATGTCTGATTGATAGTCGTACTAACTAACATAGCTTAATCAAAACTGGCTTTTATAGTGCGTTGGAAACCACCAGAATAGGACGTGTGCTCCATTTGTCTCACCTTCTAAACCTATTCAATCCCTGAGTTTATATGGCACGCAGGGTGATGGCTCAAATGGGATCTCGAAGCGTGACCGAGCGCCATGTTGTTACGTGTTTTTGGCGGGCAGTTGAAAATAATTCTAATCGCTTGTTGCGGTCAAGGATGCAAGTTCAACTGTAACCGCACACAATAAGTTCGTTTCGTCTAATGTCAGATGTCAGGGAGCTGTGAGGACAGGTTTATTCTGTACGCAGGGCAGGTTGCCGCGACAGAGCTAAGCGTCCGTTCCCGGAAGGCGTCAGTTTCTGCGTTGGGCTTACGCGGGAGTGTTTGTTTACGAGATGTCCATGCCCGTGTTAGCAGGAGTGACTGGCTGAGTGTTGGTCATGTGATTGTACGGATTAGGGGAGGAATAGGGGTGGGGGAAGGTTCATAATCACAAGGGTTCACAGGTATCAAGCCAAGCCGCCCGACGCGCATGGGGTGAAGAAAGTTTGTAAGGACAGCCGGGAGTCACTGCAACTGGGCAGGAGGTGCCTCAGTTCTAGCCATTGAGGGTGGCCGTGTGTCAACGGCCTGCCATCGCGGCCATCAACCGACAAAACGGAGCCGGAGGAGGTAGCACTGGAGCGGCTGCTACACCCTTATCAGGACCCCGATCCAAAGCGGCTTGTTTTTAGGTCAACCAAAACACAACTATTATGCTAGGACCTAGTAGAGCAATGCAGTTAGTGTAGGACGTGATTCTGTGGCGCTGCCTGTTTTCAGGAAGTTCCCGACTATGCCTGTTCCTTGATTTTTCATGCACAGGGAACGGCTTGGTCTCAGACACTTATCCATCTTATCACCGGCGGAGAGAACAAAATAATAGCCCCGTCATCGTAATCTCCGCTGGTCAGTCTTGCCTTTACAGTGCTAATTTCCATTCGCATATAGTTCGACCTTCGAAAGCGTTGAGGTCTACTGCTTTCCCGCAAGGCGGGCGCAACCGTGACATCTATTTGACTCCATTTATGAAACAGGCTTGCACTGCATCTACCCCGCCCTGTCTTCCCGCAACCGCCAATCACCGGTGGCGGAACAAAGTCAGGACGACCGGAGGCGGGCCGAGAAAACTAAAAAGCCCATCGGCACGTGCTGCATATGACCTGGCCCATCTGCGTGTATCGGGCTTCATTCGGACAGGAGTCTCGTGTCTCATGTAGATAAGAGTGGTACATGTTATTGTCTCTCGCAATTGTAGTGCAGTCCGTTTGCAGGCAGGAAGTTCTCACTCATCAGACCGCTACACACCGAGATGTGACCAATCATTCACAGTGAGGAATCGTTATGGGATCTTATTTATTTCGACCGTTACGTCTTCTAGAAATTCTATCCAAAGAGAAGGTAAACCGTAAGTACCCATGTCTTGGGATGATGATTGCTCGTCTCATTAGTGGCAGTTTAGTCGTCTTTGTTCATCTTAAGTCGAAATTAGCTCTCTCCCAACTTCCGAGGTAGATTTCCAAGTCCATAACCCTGCCAGTGAAGCAAATATTGACAACGTAAACGCTAGTTGTCTTTATACTGAGTGTGTACGAAAATCCGACATTAACGCTCCACTGTTTTGGTTTTTCAACACCTGAAATGTAAAGGTTTGTCGGAAAAACGTGTTTGACATTCGGGCTTCAAGTTTTATTGGGTTTATCATGGTGCCTTAGTGCGAGACCATTTAAGGTCTTACTTAATCGATTTTTCAACCCTTTTTTTTTCGGGTAAATTATCATGCGTTGAGTGGGTCTGACCATTCAGATCGTGTCTTCTCGAATACGTTTTCGTGCCATTTTTCCTTCACATGTCGTGTAAGCATTTCTTAACTTTTCTCCCAGCATTCAGTATACCATTTGTAGTAAGAATTGAAAGGTATTCGAGAGCATTTCTACAAAGTTTGCATATTTTATGTAGACTTCACAGTCTCGCCAGGATGCCACAGACAAGCGCCGAGCCACTGTCATCTGCATTGACAATCTTTGGCAATGGGATCCGTCTGCCGCTGTTTTGCCGTTCCTGCGACCCTCCAGCATCGTAGATCAGATCCTTTGCAGTTTGCCTGACGTGAGCATAGATTGGAGTCCTTTGAGGTGCGTCATTGCACCTTGACACCCGATATACTCTATGCAAACACCATCGCCACTGGATAGCCGTCCAGGTGTAATCTAACCATCTTGTCTAACATTAGTATTGGCCTAATCCTTTGGTTCCCCTTGTCTACCAGCTGTGTTCCCATTGGTGTGAACAACGATCTAGCCCCCTTTCGAATGCCTCTCTCGGTTTTTCGTGATCAAACTGACCACCGTCTACTGGAGGACTTGTTCTGCTGCACCAAACAGGCCGTAAGCGCTAGCAGTTTTTGTTGTTTGTACTGCTGTTGCAGAAAGAAGCTAGATCGTTATGCATTTACGTCCTTAGACGCCTTGAGCATCACGAAAACCGCTTGACCACCATAATCCTCACTAAACACCTTGTTTTATCTTTTGCCAGGAAGAAATAAAGTTGCTGCAAAAGTCTCTCTTGGATGCCGTCTTCGCCTTAGATGTTGCAACTCCTGATTTGGACCCGCTAATCAAACGTCCGAATGCAGTAATCGAGCAGTTCCAATCGTTGGCTGCAGCTGTATTCACGTGCGTCCCGTTTTTCACGCACTAACTCCGTTTCACAGGAAATTTTGTCTTTGTAGTCTTACCCTTATGTTTTATCATTGAGTAGAGGTGCCAGGTAAAGTGCACATACATTTTGACCATATACATGTTTTGGCACAGATGCTGACATCGATTGTTCCAGTCGTCTACCTTTTCTTCCATCAGATTCCCATCAATCACTAAATTTCTTTAACTTTCAAGGCAGTGGAAACGGTACTTTTCATGCATACGGTATCGTCGATTATTCAGTCGCGTTACTGACTTCAAATAATTTATGGCAATCGCCAATGGTTATATGCTCTTGCCTGGGTGCGTGTGGAATGCCCAGAGGTGTAGTCCTTTCAGTTGGTTGGCAGTCGTACTGAATGCCCCATTGCATGTGGTGATCATTCTAATCTGACCACACTCAGTTCTTTGATGTAGACAATGAATCCACGAAGCTGTGTTGAGCGTAGCAGCCACACCTCAGTAAAAGATTCGATCGACAGCTTATCCATTTGATGATCAGTTGAAGTGTCCACCTACCTGGTATAGTTCAGTTTAGTCATTAGACAGATGCCGGTTGTTATGTTGCACGAATAGATGAGGACTTGTCTCAAGGTTAACCACAGCGCCCTACCTCACTGCCAGTCGTCTGGACCTGGTATCACCACAGTATCACGGCAAAATTGGGAAGAGTGAGTTAAATGTTGCTCGTCCATCCGGTTCTATCTAGTTCACACAGAAGGCGCCTCATCGTCTTCGACAGATGAACCGTCATACTTCGTCTTAATTAGCCAACATTGGTAACCAATGGGACGATTAGTGAATGCTGCTTTCTGCACTACAGATCTTTTCTCAATCAGACTAGTCCGCCTGGTTGGAGATATGTTTTTCAAACGTGCTTCCCTGCATTCACGGAAAATTCTCCGGGGCTTCATATTGTGCATATTAGAATGCTATCATAATAACAATAATATATTATTATAAGTGGGGAAGACCACCATTGTCCGAGTGGGGGCGCGCTGGTGACTTGCGCTGGGGTCATTTCGGTCTGACCGTCAGTCCAGGGTAGGACCAACAAATCTGGTCAATTGACAACCAAGCCAGCACTATTGACACGTTTAGTTGTTTGTAGAACATAGACTAGGTGCCTGATCCGAGCTGGATCGACCTCCAACACTTCCTTCGTCATTAGCCTCTCCGCGTCAAGCCAGCTGAAGGATGCGCGAAGCTTCTGTCCCATGCCACGTCCAAACACTCGCACATACTACTAGTTGACAACCTTCGGCACACGATTGTTGTGTGAGTGGTGAATGATGTTCTGCTTGTTGTCTTCGTGTATGCGAATATGACCTAATGGACCCATGCGATTCTGGGATGTGCGGGGACAGCTTGGATAGGCAAGGCGGCGTTTGGCGGGGACACGTGGCCCTGGTTCTCCAGTCGTGTTGCAGTGAGTTTGCAGATGTCCGACCAGGCCAGTGGTGTTATTTGCAGGCAAGCATTATGCATGGAGGCACTTGCGTGGGACATTTGCAGCTTCATCAGTGATTTAGTAATAGGTGGTACAGCGATATAATTTATAGGAGGAAGCATCATGCGGGAAACGGGGCTTCGCAGTTGCTACATCGTACACTTGTCACGTCGGCTCTACAGAAATCGCACTAGTAGGCACGTCAGCGTAGTCTGCTCGTCGTCGAAAGAGCTCGTTTGCTTAAGTGATCACTTTTGACGGTAATAGAAAGTACTGCAGGTTATCCTGTCACCCTTGCAGTGACTTTGAAGGTGGCTGGCCAGGATGAACCGGCGTAAGCGCATGAGATCATAATGCGGCGAAGTAATTGAACCATTTTCAACGATGGTGGGAGTTTGTGGCGTTGGGTGAATGTGTTAGCAGTTCAATGGAGGCAACAGTATCTAAGAAGGCTACTTCGACACAGAAAGTCGGATCGGTTGTTTGTAGCGCTGGTCTGAGGTATTCCTGCATTTCGTGATTGCCGCCTTAATTTCGCTCCCTGTACTTGGCCGACTTCGAATATGGGTGCCCCCGTGTTTATGACAAATTTTCATGCCTGTTGTTCCCGCAAATAGAGTTCCCCAAGGCTTCTGGTCAGTTTTGAAGCATTGGGTGCCGTAGTATGCTGGCATCCCTGTATCGTCGTTCGTGTCCATCTCGCCTAAGAATAATCCTAAGGACGTCATCGTAGAAAGTTGCTTAGGCAGGTGTACAGCAGTCATCTTCAAGACGTCACCGCTATCTGTTGAAAGGTAGAATAGATGCTGAGCACTTCCATTATTTCAAAGACCTGAGTGTCAGGGATCTGTTCTCGCCACATAATGTTAAAAAGGGTTCAGAGGCAGCTAAGGTAAAATTGACTTGATTTTCTTGTCAATCTTTGTGCACATTCCACATTCCCCTTTCCCTTGAGGAAGATGGGATAACGGCTAATTACAGCCTCGTTTTCGTGCCAAGGAGGATACCACGACAGTTTCAAACAGAATATTGTAATTTCTCAAAAATCAGCCGGAATATATGGATTCAAGCTGCATGTTTTCGTTACTTTTCATATCTCTCTGAGACGGCACCTGCCATACGCGAATTGATCCGTGGTTGCGGGGCTAACGTGGTTGACAGCTACAATGGGCGATGTATATACCCGAATTGGTGTTGATTCATTAATGACTACCGTTGTCTCCATGTTGGTGCTCATCACGTATTTCTTCCGTCCACAGGCAGAGGTCCGGACTCCGCTTCACGTCTATCCCAGCTATGTGTTTAGTGCTCAGTCGCGAGTAAAAGCACGTGAGGTCTAACTTTAAACACTTCATTTTCGGACTGCAAAAGCCAAATGTTAAATAGTTTCCCGTCACCTTGGTAATTGATGTCGATACGGGGCCGCTCATCACTACATTAGGGAGCTTGAGGCTGAAGAGTGCGAAAGCTGTGCGTGACGCCCGTCGTCGGTCTGTCTTTTAGTTGTCTACCCGTTTAAGTGAGCCCTTCTGCACGTCCAAATGTTCCAGAGTACATCTTGATTCACGCTGTGGAGGGCCTTGATGAGATGGGCAAAAGTGGTGCAGAGGCTGATAATCATTTCGTATCACTTTTTCTGCATTTGCTACAGAGCGAAGATTATTTCGGTTGTTCCGCTTCGTCCCTTGGCTCCGCACTGTCTGAGAAAGGGCCCACTGACTCGGACAAAAACTGCGACAATTGGCAGGCACGCAGGCATCGATTTTGCCGGTAGCGTCGGTAAGGGAGATGCTGCGGTGGTTATTGCCCCACCTGCTGGTTGCATTTTCATTTGTAGAGGTGTAAGCTGATGGCGTCCCTGTTGGATGTATTTAAACGTTGCCATAAGGCATTGTACGTCACTGGGCGGAGTAAATGCGTCGTCGACTATCGCAACAAACATCGCTCTCGTTGATCGGATGTTCGTTTGGTGTACAACTGTCGTTCAAAGATCAACCGACATTCATGTTTATCACTAAAAAAAAGCAAGTGGGTTGTGCTCTTTATTGTCTTATCGCTTACCAGCGCACATGTTGGTTGATAAGTTTTAACTCATCCACATTATCTGTTTTCAGACCTGCATGCAGATTGCAGAAATGGAATTATTTCTCGGTTATCGAATTAGCGTTGGCCGCCGCAGAAGTTCTCCAATCAGCGCGCAACGCTGATGCCACACGCGAACTTGCCGGCTCCCTTGCTGATCCAGGCAAGGGAGCGGTGAGTGTTGATCATCTTCTCCGAAAGTATGAAAATGCGTTAGCATTGGCACACCTTGATGACGCCGCTGTAGACCTGACGGGCGATAGCCTGAAACGGTGTCGGCCTATCCTTCTGAATGCCATTCAGGATGCCCAGTAAGTAGACAATGGTATGCCATCTTACTCGACTATGTAAATGCTTGTCCTACGACAGCCTTGTACCATTGTTAAATTTCTGACGTCTCACGTTCTGTTGAGGAACCCTGCTAAGTATTACAATGTCACGCTGTTCACGCGTTTGCTCGTTTTGACATTTTTCGGTTGGTCTGTTGTAATAGTACTACCGGGAAAGCCTCCTGGTCGTGGCCTAGTGCATGAAGCAAGAATTTAACTCACTGGGGTTTCCCTCAGCGTCATCGGCCTCTAAGTTGGATGCACTACTTACGCCAAATCATTGCGAAGTAGTTTATCTCTCGATTATCCAACGCCGTAAGTCATGTTTTCCTATAAAGGTTAGAACAAACGTCGTAATCCTGGCCATGGCAGTCCTAGTGAGAACTGTTTTCACGCCGTTTTATACTACATGGGAATAATGCTCACGGATTCGTCGTAAGTGGTTTGTTTTGCTTCTTAACCTTGACTCACAGTCGGTCTCATGCTGATAAACCACCAACACTTGAGAGCAATGTGCGTTCGAGCCTTTGCCCTCGTCGGTAGACCTCCGACGCCAACCTTTTCCGTTGTATTAATAGTACAGGTACTCCTTTGTCCCCTCTCTGGTTTGTGTGAATCCACTTGGGTGAAATGATGTTTCTTGGCCACTAAGTATACTCCAGTTTATCGCCTTTTATCTTCCTTTCCTGTTTGCCTCCTAAGCCGTGATTTCTTCTCAAGTCGCCTTTTTCTTTTGAACAAAACTTAGTCAGCTTGCCCACATTGATGACGCCTTCTTTCTGATTTTCCGCCTAATTGGCCTCCTTCCTTGCATCGGCTGTGACCCCCGAGCCAAACACAACTCGACCCTTATCGAGGCAATAGATGTAAGCATGCTTTTCCATCCTGTGCGTTATTATCTTTTTCACCCTCAACGTTTGCAAGGTGTTTGGGATTGGACCTCACCATTCAACCTGTCATTTAGACCTATTAATTTGGATTTTGTTATCATCGTTATATTCTCGAAAGCACCCAGTTCACGGAAATGTTGCCCACACAGTATTTCTTTACAAATCGAACCGAGAGTCTTGAATTCCTTGCATTTATTTAGGTTTTCTGTCAGGGTTCTAGTTGATAAGTTGACTGTTACACGTTTTCGGATAATCATCTGGTTTTCACATTCCTCATCTTCAGCGGGAACGGAGGGAGGAGGGGGGTGGTTTCAGGACTTAAACAGGGCGCACACAAGGGGGAAGCGGTCATCGGTTTAATGGCTGCCGTCAGACTCTGGCACGTTTCATTATCTGCTCATCACAGGGGTTTTTTGCCCTACTTCGGCTCTGAAAACCTATCTTGGCAGTCGGGCCATCGTATGCACTCAGACTTATGCCGGAATTCACTGATGCGATTGGATTCTATGAATATGCGATTTTACTCTTTAGCCGCTTGATAAAGTACATTTGGTTGCAAAACTCGTTAACTATCTGAAAATCCCTTAACAATCTGGAATAATTCAAAAACCGATCCCGATACATCAAGAAAAGGGTACAATTAGAAATAACTACCCGTCAGCGAGGAGAAAACAGGACGGTAGGGAAAGTAATGTTTAGTTTACTGGAAATAAAGGTTTCAGGGACATGAGAAATCTTTACTGCACAGTTTTCTGTCTACACTATTTTTAACAGCGGAAGATGCCAAAAATGAATTACAGACTGAAAAGAATCCGTTTTCCCAACACATATACTTCTGTTGCTGATTATCATTTTTTCCGCGCACCACATGAAAAAAGCTCCGTTTTCTTTGGGGTAATTTTTCCCTATCCCTGCATTAATACACGCCCTGCTGTATTATCCGGCGAATTGGACGTTATGTTCCTTGAGCAGATTATTATAGTTCTCAAACGGCTTCTGTGACGTCCATTTGTTTTTATAAATTGCGTGTAAGCGGGAAATAAAACGTCCATAAGCAATCTTCAAACACGGCTTGGGACCATTTGTGCAGATGCCTTTCACGCTGCGCACTTAGAATATTCGTTTATGATTGAGAATCACAGCGTAGCAAAACAAAGGCCATTCTGTTGTAATTGCTAAGTTATTTTCGGGCTAAAATCGAATAGATTTACAGTTAAGGGTTTTTTTAAGCGGTAAATTCTTCCGCATGGCATTAACCTCTTACCTCGCCTGATTTACGCTGACAGAATAGGTATTTTTAAGCAGATGATGATCGCTTGCGTACACTTCGCGCTTTTAGATTTATGCTAACTCATATACAGACGCAGGTACGGTATATGATGGGTATTAGCCTAGGAAATCGCCTGGGTACGAGTAAACGTTTTCGCCTAAAATGCCCTGCTTTTCGTCAGTTAAGTAACTCAAGACCACATTCTGCATGCAAAGAAAATGTACTCATCGCACTATACTATTATGTAAAGGTTTCTACCCCTGATTTGACCCACACCGACCATCAAAATTACGGCCATCATATTTCTGTTTAGCCACCTACCTACTCCGTGAGGATACTTTTTGGTTAAGACTACTCCAGTATAGGTGGTTGCTCGGGTTGCTTCTACGCTTTAGTGGACGAAGTAGCCGCCTGTATGATGCTTTGAGAGATTATTTTAGCGCGTTATTCTAAAGGCGATTTACTTTTGAGGCCATTTTTTATGTATTTTGAAAGTGCACTTTAACTACTTGTGGAGCCTACTATTTATTATTTCGGTTTTAGCGGATAATCACAATCGGTGTTTCTAACCGAAATCCGGACGCTATCAGTCATGGGGTAAAAGGTAAGTGGCAGTCAGTGGCGAAGGCTGGTTTCCTGTTTCTGCTTTTTCTCCTACTGCTGGGATGCCAGTTCTTCTGTCGTTATTCCACGCGACGTTACTGCCCTCTCGGGCTTCCTGCTTTGTTTTTGTGGCTTCTAGTTAGGCATAAGTAGTAGTTTTGAATTCTAAGCCATTAATGTCTCGCGGATCTCCCCTCTGTGGCTTGATTGAGTCTACGTTCGCCTACCTTTTTCAAACCACATATATCTCTCTCTCTCCATTCAGAACGCTTTTAATAGACTGAACCTCCCACTGGCGCGCGCCGGAACCTTTCACTTCTTCGTAATTCAAGGGCATTCTCCCGTGGCAGCTTCTAGCATAACAATTGTTCGAATGCTCCTGTAGATTTCCCATTACGTCGGATTCGTTGCCTTTCGACTTTCTTACCCCAGTCTACTCTGGCATTTCTATTTCCATCATTTCTCTCCCGTTATAATATGAAGGGGCCTATCGTCGCGTTTACTGTTGGAGTGCGTTGAAACACCACCGTTCACTGATTAGACTTCAGGTTTCTTTTTAATAATGACATCTAAACTACGATGGGGATTATGCGGATTTGTTGTTGCTCTGCACAGTTTCGATTCCGATTTTGCTGTGTTATCAGCTATTTCGAAGGGTTAACAGTGTTCGGTATTTCTAGGCGGTCTTCTTTTGGATCGGGCCTTGCCTCGTTCAACCGGAACATCCTTTTTGTCCGCCCTTCACCGTCGACACCTTCTTCCAGCCTTTAGGTAAGACTACAGAGCATATCACCGACGCTCGATTTCTAGCTTGTCCGTTGTATGCGTGCCTTGCCTTATCCCCCTCTACTTTTCGTCCAGAGACAATGTAAAAAACGTCGGGTTCCCACAGGTAATCTCTCCCGTCGTTCAGATGTTCTCGGACTTTGTGGCCGCTCGTCTTGATCCCACTTCAGCAAGTGCCGCCCTTCAATCTCTGCACCACTGGCCACTCCCGACACCTGGGACGACCTTCCTCTCGGGAATGGGGTTTGTCATTTTTTAGTTGCACCCCACCACCATTATATACTACCACTGGTCCGTTAAACTTACCGATGACGAGCAACCATGGAGGCCTTGTTTGATACCGCCCATGACGAACTCAGCACGGACGCATCAGCAGAACTAGCCAAAAGTATGATGCTAGTTTTTGTACCCACTCGTACCAGTATTCTACCCACGGCAGGCTGACACGTGTTTTTTCCACTCAATCATCGTCTACGATTGGCTAATTGTACTAATGTGTCCTTGTTGTACTCTCTTGATGCGCTGATCAAGTGAACAGTGTCGTAGCGTGGCCGCATGTCTTGTGCTGACTTGTTAGTGGGTAGAATAGCATTACCGACAGAAACAAGGGAGACTGTAATGGCCATTTCCAGCTTGTTAGCCGTCATCAGCCGGCCATATCCACTCCGAGGTGTGTAATCCCGAGAATCGAACTCGCCACCTGTTGGTTCGAAGCCCTACGCCCTAACAATTGAGCCATGGACTCGTCCTATCGGTTGCGATTAGGTATATTAGCAATGGTAGAGGGCTCGCACCGATCGCGTTACGGAACCCACACAGCCATTCGTCTCCGTTGTCTTTGTCGGTAATGTTATTCTGCCTATATTACGCGCCGTTGTGCGGCCGCTGGCGGGCCTCGAGAGAGAGCCCCAAGGTACAACTGGGCGAGTGAGTTCCGTAACGCGATGCGTGCGCACCCCTCTTCCACAGTTATTAATGGATATCTCCACGACGACTACTACTACTACTATTACTACCACAACCACTACTTCCTCAACAGCGCATCCTCAAGTCTGCTGGGCATCTAGTAGCTTGCAATGTGATAGAGTGTCAGCGATTTGTTGGCCCCGTTTCTTACTCGCACGACACCCGGAAATGCTGATAATAAACGGCTGCTGGTTGGATTCGAAAGAGCACCCCTAAGGCATAACGGAACGAGTGAGTTCCGAATGAACGATCGGTGAGCGCCCCTTTATCATTCTATATTCCCGATCACAACTGATAAGACAACGGGCCCATGGCCCAGTGGTTAGAGGCGTTGGACTTCTAACTAACAGGCCGCGGGTTCGAGCCTCGGGTGTCCTGGACTTCGGGTTTAGGTATGACTGACTGACGGCGTCTAATAGGCCAGAAATGGCCATTCCAGTCCCCCTTGTCTTTGTCGGTAACACCATTCTGACAATTTGATTTATAGTTGGGGGCACGCCGGTGTTTAAATGTTCGCATATAGCATCACGACTCATTATGGCGTCTGGAGGAGCCGACGCGCGCCGCTGCGCTGGTGCGGCCCTCGGTATTGATCTCAATTTCACCGCGAAAACCCACTGAGAGGAAATTCTTGCGGTCTTCGTTCGACCATCCGGCATATCTACGTCAGTTCGGGATTCCGTAGCTGAATTCATGGTAGTATATCGATACTCTGTGTCAAAACCAGTGACGCCTGAGTACGATAATGCTCTCGTCCACAATCGTCAACCTCTAATCGCGCCCATAATGACTCGCGTCAACGTCCTGATGTCATAAAATTACGATCACCTATTACAGTACGGCCTTTCGGCCCAAAATTTCTATACCATATTGTCTTGATCCTCGTAAGAACCCTGTGATTGTCTGAGAATACAATTTACTCGATGTTTTACAATGATACTCTCGGCCAACTGCCGAAAATGAGGGACAAACCAGTTAAATAGGGCTGATAGGGCTGCAAGAACTGTCGGACCGAATTAAGGCGATAGCATAAGCACTTTGAATATCTTCTGAGTTTCTGCAGCAAACCCATAGCCCGCTTTTTCATCCTTCGGCGGCCCGCAATGCTGTGTGGCCCCCCATCCCTGTGCAAAAAGTGGACTACATCCACGTTGAAGTCTACACATTTTTACGTCAACGCTAGCCTCCTAACTATATGTGGTAGTCATGCAGACATGAGAAAATGAGATCTTTTCCGATAACTGGTGCTCTGTTGTCTTTGTGTCCGTTATCAAAGAGATAAAGACTAAGTGCCAGAACTACCGCGGCGCAAACCTCATCGACGTTGCTGCAAGGATCGCCACTGTTGTCATTCTTGGGCGCTTTCAGAGTGTGCGTGACTCTAGGACCAGATCTAACCAAGCCAAGTTCCGAGCTGCTGCGTGAATGCGCCGACCTGCGGCGCATTGAATTCCGTCAGCAACTGACGGCCGTCTGCTATGTTTGGTGACTTCACCGCAGCGCTTCATTCCGTCAATATGGCTAATGGAACTGTGCGGTATGCTGGCAAAAATAATTATTATCAGGGTGTAATATCACCATCCCCACTACGTGAATTCGATCCTGCCTCCGATTATTTTTAACAACGCCCTTGTCTGGATTCTCGAAAGAACCCCACACGGTTTTGATGGTATTGAGTTTGCACCCTGGAGTTGGCTGACTGATCTCGACAGTGCTCTGACTGTCAGCTAGAATGAGCCTCGGGTGATCGAGGTTACCAAATCAGTCGTTTTTCCTATCGGCGCTGTGGAAACCCAAGTATTCTTGAACTGCTTCCCTGACCAGTAAAAGGCATCCTTGGGCATTAAGGTCTGCATGCTTGAAGAAGTTGACAGTTTCCAGTAGTTTGCGGCCAAGTTACGCCCAAGCGGACAGTAAATACGACAACGTACTCAAATTGACGTTTCATGTAGGGCTTTGCGATACCTCTAAGCTATCAAACTACACTGATTTGTGTGTACCGCGCATCTGTGCGGCCAGTATTCCCGTGCACCTGTGAATGCTGGGCCGTGCGCTTAGCAGACGAGGTTGTCGACCACCGTTTCCTTTGAACCATCATTCGGATAAGAGACACGGACTTCGTCTCAACCTACGCTGTCCGCACTTTTTTTAACAATGTTTAGAGAGTGTATTTGCTTATTCAAGGCACATGACCATGCCATTCAATAGCTGTTTTGGCAGATTTAAAAAAATTAATTTGACCCAGTTATGAAGAAGCCGATGGCCTTATGGGGATCCGAATCCACGGCAGCATTTGCTGTACTCAAGCCTCGCTCTTGCTGTTTTGAGTTCGAATCCCACCGAGGCTGGCAAGTTTTCCACTAGTGAGTTAAATGAATTACATGTTATCCGTCATCCGTCCCATGAGTTTTGTACTGTGACTTAGTCTGACACCGCTACTTAAGTTTTGATGGCGAAGAGGGGTTCTGCTGAAAACCTGGCCAAACGCGGCTCAGCCAGACATGTATGTGACTCTTATACCACAGATATTCGGTCCTTGTTCCTGGGCAGGAGAATTGTTTGAGCCCATCAGATCCGTCACCGCTTACAGTTGCTCACGTAGAAATGTTGGCGACGTTGCTGAGGCTGACTAGGCCAGTTATTATAAGAGTCTTATGAGGCACAGGGATGTGGGTTTTGGGATCAGTGCTTTACAGTTTCACAGCGTATTTAACGCCCACCGCCCGTCTTGCTATTTGACCAGCCGTGGGCACCAGACCCCAGGCAGTCTCGACGGCCCTTCCACTTCACATGCTGTATTGATCGCATGTTTTATTCCTTTTTAGAAAGTGGATAGGCATGGGCAGCCGGTCGAAAATTCCACCTTTTTCCACCGACTTGGTGGTGCTTGTTGTCGGAGGAACCATCACTTGGTCACTGGCTCGAGAGATTGTTTTTGCTGCAGCAAAAGGAAGCTCGGATCACAAGGCACCACTGGAGGTACGCGCGATATTTTCCTAGCTTAAGTAAGGTGGTCCACTTTCGCCTTTTGTACTCCTTTTTTCCGCTTCATTGCTTGATCTTTTCTGCAATTTACTGACTGGGACACCCATCCTTCTTTTTACCACATATCTGGGCTTGGCACGTTTTTAAGTCCTCTGCGCACGCATGACTCACTGCCGAAAGTTTCGCTCGCCTACGGTTAACCATGCCCTCCACTGTGGTTTTGGTTTTAGTTTACTATCTGCTTTCAAAAAACATGAAAATTCATCATCGTACACTTCCAAAAACCTGCTGAAAGCCTTGCGTAACAGGTGCCAGTGTCTTTTTAACCGGCTTACGAAATAGGTCTTCATTTATTTGACCTCATTTTCATTATTCGTGAGCTTTTTCATAGATTCAGCTTTTTGTCGTCGTCACCGTTTATGATATAGCCAAGTATCTTTCTTTAAAACACGTTTCGTAGGTCGGTGGAACCGGATGTTTTCGCCTCTTCTTTCCGTCTTTTCTGTTCCTTTCTCAAAACAATTTCCACATGTTCAGGGTATTTTCATTGCCACTCGATTCGCTAACTTTTGATTTTATTCTTGTTTCACAGGTCTTAATAATCTGTGACTCCTTCTTGACCGGAAAAGAGGCGATTACTGAGGTCCTGGAAGTGCTATCCGTGCCGAATGACTCCTGATTTTGTCAAATTACTGGCATGCTCATCTGATTCATGGGGAAGACCGCTCAGAAAAAACCCTCGCTAGCCTTCCTTATTTCCCTATAAGGTCGTTTTCTTTCATAATGCGTCCCATTGCTTTCTGTGGTGCTGTTGTTTTAAAATATCTTCTGCTTACTTTGTTAATTTCTACTTGATACGTCTGTGATCATACCTGATCCAGCCCTCTTCGACGATGTTCCGCTCGGAGGTCCTCCACATGCGACCACCTGTTCCTGCCACTCTCTTTTGGGGTTTCCGAGACCGAATACCAGCAGTTCTTTCACACCCTGGTAACCTGGACGGTCTATGTCGGACCACGCCTTGCGATGACATTCCCTTCGTCATTTCATGTTGGGAGGGGCGCTTATTAACTTCAGGACGGCAGTTGGACTCGTAGAGTGGGTGGTAGGCAATGTACCCAGATCACTTCAGTTGTCCGTCTTGGGTGGCCTGAGATATCGTACGGCTTTCACAACAAATGTGGGCTTTCTTCTCTAGGGTGGGACATCTTGAATTCACCCCCATCTCAGAGGTAGGGTGCATCTACAGGCGCTGAAGCTCGTAGAAAGCTGCCCACATAAGCAAAGAATCACGGATGGCTCAGTAGCCATGCTCAACGCATGCCCAAAACTGGAAAATAAAACTCAATGATCCTGATTGAATCGCTGAAGGGAGGGTGGACTGTCCATATTGTTGTTTTTTTTTTACTAGGGCAACACTTCTAGTCGTGTAACCCGAAGAACTGGCTTAACTGCAAGTCAAGGATTCGAGATTGCAGTCAGGTGCAACTGATGACTCAGAAGGTGAGGAGCGGCGTTTCTTGCCCTTTCCCGGTTTTGCTATTTATGGAAGCAGAATACTGCTGTAACTCACCAGCAGAATCGTATTAAACAGATGCGATCGTTTGTCCAAGTAAAATCTATTGCATCGCAGTAAGGAAAACACTTGTGTATTTTGAGTGCCTTCTGATCGAAATGGTAGCGGCAGTAGTGTGTTTTAGTAAGGCCGAGGGTATTTAGGTCGGTCGTCGAGTAAAAATGGCAATACAAGAAACAGACGCAACCGGGAGCATGCTGCCGTTTTAATCGACAAGATCGCAGTTTTCTTCCTTTCGATGCTGGGGGCGGGGGGTTGTCGGGTCTAAGGCGCCTGTTGAATGCCGGAGACCATGACCGTTCTTGGCATCCGCTGGCTACTAGGAGGGTGCTTTCCATTTGTTCTGGTTTTTGAATCTACATCTTCAGGCTTTTGTTGCCTCAGCATATCCCTAAGGAAGGTTGGTTACGGTACGGTGTAGAACCCCGCGTGGATGGCAATTCCAGTGTGACTGTAAACAGCGCTTATTATTTACCATTCCCACTGGTTGAAATTTTCTTGCCTTCCTGACTAAATGTAGACCTGCCAGCGGGGGTTTACTGAAAGTTCGTTATCTTTAGAAAATTGCTTTGCTTATTTTTCAATTATCGCGCTCACTTTCTTTGACAAATGACCGCGTACGATAAGATTTTCGGCGGAAATTTGTTTATTTGTGTCTTCTTTCTCTCCGTCCCGCGTGTTGCCCCATCGTCCATTATTCAACTTATGACACGGTCCACAGGCCAGCTCAAGTTAGTCGGTGTCCCACACCCCATCGTTGCCGCAAAGTTTTTCTTGTGCCAAAGTAATCACCCGTCGGCATACTCCATGTCCGTTCTCTTTCTAATTTGCGTGTTAATCGAAACTAACTTGTGCAAAAAACAGCTTTCGACACACCTTAAATTCAACTGGATGAATTTCGGGGTTACTTCCAGGACGTGCCTCGGAATTCCTGCTGCAGTAAACTAAACGATTACCTGCTGCCGTTTGTACAGTGTTTTGAGCAATGAACTTGCAATGATGTGCCTGTGGGGATCTAGTAACCGAAAGTGTTTTCTTTTTGAAAACAATGTGGGCCATTTCCATCTTGTTCTGAATAGAGCGAGTAGAAGTTTTAGGTTTCGAGCATGCAAATGTTGCTTTAGGGAACTCTCCCCACTGTGGTTAATGCTTCCTGAAAAGAATGCGCTCAAACGGCTATTCGCTATCTCCACAGTTGGTAGTGCAGAAAGTCGCCCGGGCATAACGGAATGACAATTATTATTTAGCATACGGGCTCAGTCGGTAAATGGTGCTTTACCATTATCGCTGTGGATGTGGATTGGCCGTGGTGACACTGTTGTGAGTCCCGCTGTCGATCTCTCGCTCTTTGGTTAGCGTGCGTTCAGTTCAGTGCGCCGCCATTAGATCACGGGTTCGCTGTCTTTTTGAAGATGTTAACTATCGTGGGATGTTCAATCACCGATCGAGTTACATTTTGGAATAGACTTATCACACTGTGTCAAGGGCAACTGCAAATGTATCGATGAACGGTCACAACACTCACAGTAAGGGCTGTCTGGTTCATGTGCCTTCCATGACTTTAAACTTGCGACTTCTGTAAATGACGGTCACCGTGTCCTCTCTACCGTCCCTAAACCCAGTCTAAAGTCTCGATTACAACATATTTACTCGGGCACTGGCTTTCGATATCGATACTATTCAAGCATGGTTGATTGGTTATCGCTTGGTTTGTTCCAGAGGCATGTTTTATCAATCTAAGTCGCATGTCTTAAATCTTCTGTTCATAGTTTCCAATTGGAATTTTTCCACTTTCGGTCTTTGCAGTTCAGATAGTCACATCTGCAACTGTTATCTGTTTCGTTCCCGTGAGGAAGTAAGTGAAGTAAAAACCACCATATCCTTCCATTTATCCTCTGCAAACGGCATATGCTGCAAACTCCTCTCCTTTGCGCCTTATCAGTTACATTCCGAATATATTCTTGATCAGTCATATTTTTGAACGGTTCGAGTTTGTCTCCTAAAGAAGACGACGCGTCCAAGAAAACAATCTTGCTATGAATCCTTTTTGGTGAAGGTCAAATGTGCTACGCGCCTACTCATTTGGTCTAAGTAGACGCGTCAAGCTATGATCTCTCGTGGTGAGGCGCTAACAGTCTGAACCAGGATTTGGGGATGATGTTCAGTCTTTGAAAAAAAAAACAGATCCTAACCTTAAGCACATTTCACAAGCTGCACTGAATAGAGCCAAAATTGGTTTTGTTGAAAAGGAGGCGGTATATTATACGTTTGCCCCTACTAGATAACTCTCGAAGAAAGTAAAGCCCCCGAGAATAACTGGTTCCTACCCTCTTGACCACGATCGAATCTGCATAACAACCTTCGCTGATACCACCTCTAATAACGGCTCTAACATAAGGTGGTTAGACCGTTGAAGCTAATTATGGTGGTCGCACATAGGAACGCGAACAAAGGTCATGCAAATCTAACAGAGGAAAATTTTAAACAGGTATCAGAAAAAAAACAGGTTCGTTGTTAACAGGAAGTATTTTTTTTCAAAGTGAAACCAAAATACCAAACATAAGAATAATGTGAAAATTGACTTTATCTTGTCCTTTAAAACAGCTGCACTTTCCTTGCGGTAGAGCCGTCACGCCAGTCTTTGAACTCGTCGTTAATTTTGCTCGAGCAGACGGGGCACTCATTAAAGTAGATAAGCCAGCGGTCCAGACAATTTTTGCAGAAGGCATGCTACCAACGAGAGAGGGGAAGAATCGGATTTTAATGTGCGGAAACATGCATACGGACAAATGCTCAAGTAGACCGAATAGAAAAATTGGGAGTAGAAATACGGCTAATTGAGGAGTGAAAATATGGGTAACGCGCTGGACTGTACAGTAGATCAGCTATCTTATGATATGTCAACCGAGATTATGAAATCTGCCTTTTATTCAAAAAGGTTACTTGAGTTGGTTTGTAATATTAGGTTTTTCGAAAAATAATGGCTGATTTTTCCGCTTCTAAAAACTGAAAGTACTCGCTAATCCTGCAGTGTTGTATGGAAATTTTACATGCTTCATAATTGTTGTTTACTATTCAACGCTTTTCCTGTTATTTTTCCCAGAGTACAATTTTAAATCACATACCCTCTAATAACGAAGATGAAAAAGTGCGTTTACTTTTTGTACGAATTCAAACTCGATCATAATGTTTCCTAAACAGCCGTCAATATCAGCAGAGCATGGGGGAGGGGTCAACAACTGACCGGACAGTACGACGGTGGTTTCAGAAATTCCGTAGGGACAATGAAAGCTTTGAAGATGAAGAAGGTAGGGAACGGCAATGCACCCTTGACAACGAACTTTTGGATGCATTTTCTGGAAAAATACCCACCCCAAAGTATCAGAGAAATACCTGAGGTACTAGCTGTCAGTATTTCAACGATGTCCGACCATCTGATGCAGGTTGGTAAGGTGGAAAAGCTCGATAAATGTGTGCCACATGGGCTCAATGAAAAACCTAAGAGTTTGGCGTTTTGAGCTATGTTCAATGCCCTCTCTGCGAAAATCTAATGAACGATTTATCGACCGAATGGTGACGTGTGACAAAAAGTGGATCCTTCATGATAACCGTAAACTATCAGGACAAAGGCTTGAGTGTGACGAAGCATTCGGACATTTCCCGAAACCAAAGTTACATCAGAAGATTAAGGTGACACTCTGGTAGTCTGATATTGATGTTGTCCATCACAGTTAGCGCTGAAATTGGGGAACTTCAGCGGAACTTGTGTAAGAGAGCAGCGCATCTAGCCCATCTTGAAAACTGCAGGTGATTGGCGTTCGAAGACTACGTGCAAACGGTCAGAAGTAAGAGAATCGACGCCAGCTCCTACGAAGTATCCAACCAGTGAAGGTTCAGACTACCCTTCCGAACAATCCGGAGCGATACGTTGACAACTATTCTTCAGTACGGCTTGATAAAATTCTCGTCAAAGTACTACCTGTTGGTCCTAAGTTTTGCATTGCACGGCGGATGCCGAAGCAAATAGAGTTAGAAATCCAACTCGAGTCTACTTGGTCAGACTGCCGATTGAAAACCTACCGTGCCAAGGGGAGTTGATTACC